GGGGTCCGGGGAGACTGGATATAATGAATGCAGGGTCCGGGGAGAGCGGATATAGTGAATGCGGGGTCCGGGGAGAGCGGATATAGTGAATGTGGGGTCCTGGGAGAGCGGATATAGTGAATGCAGGGTCCGGGGAGAGTGGATATAGTGAATGCGGGGTCCGGGGAGAGAGGATATAGTGAATGCGGGGTCTGGGGAGAGTGAATATAGTGAATGCGGGGTCCGGGGAGAGCGGATATAGTGAATGCAGGGTCCTGGGAGACCGGATATAGTGAATGCAGGGTCCGGGGAGAGAGGATATAGTGAATGCGGGGTCTGGGGAGAGTGAATATAGTGAATGCGGGGTCCGGGGAGAGCGGATATAGTGAATGCAGGGTCCTGGGAGACCGGATATAGTGAATGCAGGATCCGGGGAGACCGGATAAAGTGAATGCGGGGTCCGGGGAGAGCGGATATAGTGAATGCGGGGTCCGGGGAGAGCGGATATAGTGAATGCAGGGTCCAGGGAGAGCGGATATAGTGAATGCGGGGTCCTGGGAGAGCGGATATAGTGAATGCGGGGACCGGGGAGAGAGGATATAGTGAATGCGGGGTCTGGGGAGAGCGGATATAGTGAATGCGGGGTCCGGGGAGAGCGGATATAGTGAATGCAGGGTCCAGGGAGACTAGATATAGTGAGTGCAGGGTCCTGGGCTTAGTAACACTTTAAATTGCCATCCAATCACTTTCATGAGAAAGATATGCTTATGCACCTTGGTCCAATCAGAGTGTCAGGACCTGGATCACCTGTTGGTGGCACTATGGTTCCAAGAGCTGAAGGGCGCAGTTCCCACGGCCACTAGCCGACTCCACCTGATTCTGGCTGCTGGGAAGATATTTAACCCCTCTCTTGATTTGAATCAGGGATGCATCAGGTTGTTGGTTTAGTTTTGTTTCGCTGTCACATTTATGTTTCCCTTTTGCTCTGTTTATGGTGTGTTGGTGTTGGAATGGTATTGTGTACATTGTTAATCTTATTTTAATAATACTCAGTCTGATTCCAGTTTCTTAGTACAGCTACACTCATCCCCACTGCTGCTGCTGGTTACCTCCACCTTACACAGAGATTTCTCAATGATGGTGAATGGAAGTTCCTAGAAGAATGGGAGGTGGAGACCTGAGAGAGACACCTGGGGGACATTTGGAGGTCATTGTTCAAGCCCCTGAGAGCAGTAATGTTTGCTGGCAGGTAATCTATTCAGTTGATGATGGTTTGAACGTATTGTTTTTGATTCCATAGGTATTGGTCCTCTATGGTGCACGGTCTTCATTATTGGAGAGTATAGAGTATTATTAAGGTTGGTCATGGCCTTTGGATTGGTTCTGTCATTTTGTGTAATATATTCTTGTCTCTAACTAAGCTGTTTATGTTTAATTCTTTATACAATATACTATGTTTCATCTTTAGTTTGTGTGACGGGAGTGGCTTTGGGTGGGGAGCCCGTGGAACACAGCCCCCTTTGGAGAGGTGGGGAGACCCCTGTCTCAGCTCCCCATATCCCTATTATGTGTAAGTCACCCTGTGCCTGTTAGGGGTACAGGGTGAAATATTCTAATATTGGTGTGGGGGTTGTTCATTGTTCACTGCCATGCGGCTGCATCCCATTGTTCTATTGTGTAGCTTGCTTGTGAGCACACTATTATGGGATGTATGTGTTTGTGTATTGGCTTTGGGGGGTTTTCCGGCAGCCCTTCCCCCTGATGGGACTGCCTGCTGATGTGTTTCCTGTTACTGGGTGTGCATTTCCCCGCCCTGTGTAAATATCTTGTATCTATGTTAAAATAAAGCAGTCTATTTCCTGTCTTGTTACAAGGCTGGTCTTGTCTAGTCTTGTATGGTCAGCGGTGGGGTCCATGGATCTGTGTTCGGACGGGGAAGTGGGAGTCTAACGGAAATACCCTAGTGCAGTCCGGGTCCGGTTTCCGTTACAGTTTGTGATGTGTGTTTTATTGCTGACCTTCCCCTATCGAACAATGAGAAGTGGGTGTTTATTAACCCCCTCATGACGAAGGCAAAACAAATTCCGAACACATTTTTTCAGTTTTGACACATGTAATTAAATCTGTACATATCATCCCTACTACTTAGTGTACTCAGTGTATACCTTGTTTCTTCAGGACAAATTGGGCTTTCATTTCAAAGAGCAACCCAAAATAAATTTTCCTGCTCCTGATGATCGCAGCGATACCGCATGTGTGTATGATGTTTGTACCTGTAGGCCCAGAAATAAGAGTACGCATTTAGCTTTCTTAACCTCTTCACGCCGGCCGCATGCAAATGTGCGGCATCCTGGCGTCTGTGCCACATTTGCGTGCAATTAACAAAAACATATGTGCTGAGAGCGCGCTCCCAGCACACGTGTCCGGTACTCACGGAAAGGTCAGATCTCCTCTTTCGATCGGGACCTTCCCCAATCATGTGACTGCCGTGACGGCGAATCACGGCGGTCATATGACCTTAAAACCCTGCCCCGCCTCCCGGCTTCTGAAACCCTTAAAGGGCCGAGAGGTGCCAGCGCAAGGGGTTAATCCTACCTAAAATACACTGACTGTCAGGAAAGACTTGCCCATATCACAGACAATGTCTCCAGGTACATACGTGTGCACATGTGCAGGCTGGCAACTGGCCGGGCAAATGTGTTTAGATGTGCACATATGTGAACACATGTGCCTGGCATGCCTAGGCATGTGCCTGTCACCAATACTGGCCTCAAACGGACTATTTAAACAGAGCTTCAGCACTGGCTCATTGCTATTTGGTCTACAACGTTCTGTGTTCTTCATGGCCTGCTCCTGTGCCTGACCTCCGATCCTGATCTGGCTTTTCCTCTGACCATGCTTGTGCACTGCCTGCCCTGACCACGCTTGTGCACTGCCTGCCCTGACCACGCTTGTACACTGCCTGCCCTGACCACGCTTGTACACTGCCTGCCCTGACCACGCTTGTACACTGCCTGCCCTAAACTCGACTTGTCCTTGGAATCTGCTTCTGCCTCCTGTTATTGCCTGATCTGCCTCACCATTGCTGACCGTGGCCTGTGACCTGACAACTCCTCTGCCTCTGCCCCCTGTTTATGCCTGATCTGACTGTCTGTTACCAACCGGTTGTGCCTGATCCTGCATCCTGCTCATCCTGATACAACACCTCCAGTCCAGTAAGTTCTCATCTGGTCCCTGCTCGCCCGCCATGCATCCGCAGCCTGTCACCTTCTAGTTCTACCTTAATGCCCATTTGATTTATTTATTTTCTATGTGTTTAATTACCCCCCCCCTTAGATTTCTTGCAATTGGATATCAGTTCTTGTTATCATGGCGGCTCAGCCTACATTACATGTGGGCATTACCTAGGGCAGTCTGTAGGCAAATACAGCCTGCCTAGGTACCTGGGTACACCCAGTCGTCCAGACTTGGACCCATCCATCAAAGCATGTGGTACATGGACAACCTTCGGTGCTAGCCATTGTAGTCTGTTTCCATACTCCATTGAAAATATGAAAGAATGTTAGCTGCACTCCACGTAGCTCCTCTTACAGTATTTTTTACTCAATGAATTGACTGCATACAGCAATGTCTCCACCCAAAAAACAACCTTCTTTGATGCATTTCACCACTCCTGGCTTGCTCACAAGGTTCTACCCTTTTCTGTTTTGAAGAAATAGCTGCTTGTTTCCCCGTGTCCTTTTTTTTTTTTAATTTAAATATTTATTAAATTTTTCATATTAATACAAAAGCCCAAAAAGGGAAATAATTCTCATACAAATAAACATTTATAACATTTCTACCTTTCCCTTACTAAAAACTCTTTTCTTTCCCATCCCACAACCCCCCCTTCCCGCCCCTCATCCCCCCTCCTCCCCCTCTGCAGACTCTAGCCCATTCTAATCTCTTGAGGCTTGTTAATTTTTTGCTAACATCCTAGTTCATATTTTCCTATATTTCTCTTTCAATCCCGCTCTTTCCCACTTTTCCCATCTCCTAAAATAAACTCTCATTCTATCTTCCTGCATAGGATATGATCTTTCCATTCTACCTATCTGGTTTACTCTATTAATCCAGTCTTCCTCCTTCGGTACCTCAGATTTCCCCCAAAACTTAGGTATCAGCCCTTTCGCCGCATTCAAGAAGTACCATATACCTGAATCTTTATATTTATTTACAGATGTCTCCACATTGTGTAGGAGGCACGTCGTTGGGTCTAACCCTATGTCAATTTCAGTTATTTCTTCAATCAATTTGACTATTGTCTTCCAAAATGCCTGGATTTTCGGACATTCCCACCATATGTGAAACACCGTGCCCATCTCTCCACATCCTCTCCAACACATATTTGTATTTTCCCCATTCATCTTGTGCTCTACACTCGGTGTGATGTGCCATCGTGTCACACACTTATAATTAACCTCAACCTCTCTCATACTAACATTATCGTGTATCAATCTAAACATCTTTCTCTGTCTATCTTCATCAAACCCAACTCCCATATCCCTTTCCCATTTTGTTATAAAAATTAACTTTGTGTTTGTGTCTAATTCTGTGAGTATTCTATACACTTTTGAAATACCGTGCTTCCCATCCCTACGTGTCTCTAACAACCTTTCAAACATATTCCACTCCTGTTTTAATCTCAGGGGTTTCGGTAGATTTCCAATAAAACATTTCAATTGATGATATTTCCACTCATCTATTCTAATAAAAATATCTCCCTTCTTCTCTATTAACTACCTGCCGACCGCAGATAGCCGAATGACGGCTGCACTGCGGCTGGCCAGTTCTGGGTGGACGTCATATGACGTCCCCCCAGAACGCGCTCTCCTGCGCGCCCCAGGGGGCGCGCACCCGGCGATCTCCGTGATCGCTGTGTCCTACGGACACAGCTGATCACGAGATGTAGTAAAAGGCCGATCATACCGGCCTTTTACCACGTGATCAGCGGTGTCCAATGACACGCTGATCACAGGGAAATGCAAGTGCCGGTTCTCGGCTGCACTTTCCTCACGCTGTCAGATCGTGAGGAAAGTACTGCCGAGAACCGGCAGTTGTCAGAGCGGTGCCCTGATGATCGGTGCCCAGCAGTGAGACCCGCAGGTTCCGCCCAGCAGTGCGCCCACTAGCTCCGCCCACCCGTGCCCATCAGTGCCCCCACCTGTGCCCAGCAGTGCCCCCACCTGTGCCCAGCAGTGCACCCACCTGTGCCACTCTGCAGTGCCACCTACCTGTGCCCAGAAGTGCCACCTACCTGTGCCCAGAAGTGCCACCTACATGTGCCCAGCAGTGCCCACCCACCTGTGCCCACCCACCTGTGCCCACCAGTGCCACCCACCTGTGCCCACCAGTGCCACCCACCTGTGCCCACCCACCAGTGCAGCCCAGCAGTGCTGCCAGTCAGTGCCACCAGTCAGTGCCCAGGGGTTGTGCCAGTCAGTGCCGCCAGTCAGTGCCCAGCAGTGATGCCAGTCAGTGCCGTCTATCAGTACCCATAATCAGTGTCACCTATCAGTGCCGCCTATCAGTGCTGCATATCAGTGCCGCCTATCCGTGACCCCTAATTAGTGCTGTCTATCAGTGCCGCCTATCCGTGCCACCTCATTAGTGCTGCCTATCAGTGCCCTTTAGTGCTGCCTATCAGTGCCCATCAGTGCCGCCTATCAGTGCCCATCAGTGCTGCCTCATCAACGCACATCAGTGAAGGAGAAAAAATACCTGTTTGAAAAATTTTATAAAAGAAACAAATAAACTTTTTTTTTTTTTCAAATTTTTTTGCACTTTTTTTTTTATAGCGCAAAAAGTAAAGCGCCCAGTGGCGATTAAATACCACCAAAAGAAAGCTCTATTTGTGAGAAAAAAATGATCAAAATTTCATATGGGTACAATGTTGCATGACCGCGCAATTGTCAATCAAAATGCGGCAGCGCTGAAAGCTGAATATTGGCCTGGTAAGGAAGGGGGTATAAGTGCCTGGTAGGCAAGTGGTTTAAATCTTTAAGTGATCTCAGTTCCCCCTCCACCAAAACATCTCTCAGTTGGGTATCCTCTTTTCTAAACCATCTCCCTGATATCTTATCCTTTCCCGGGGGAAAGTACTCAGTATTTGTGAGAGGCATTAATATAGAATTAAATTCCCATTTCATGTTTTTGTGTAAATTGTCCCATACCCTAAGAACATTTAAAGTGTAGATACTTGTGCTTTCTTTAATTCCCCTGAACTGTGGTGGAACCCATATCATCTGACTCAATCTAATGCCACTAAGATCATTTTCAATTGTTACCCAGCTTTTCCCCCCCTTATGGTTAAATGTCCAGTCATATATTCTTGCTAAAACCACTGCTCTATAATATCTCTTGACATCTGGTAGACCCAATCCCCCTTTCTCTTTAGTCCTACTCAATGTTTCATACGCTATTCTAGGTTTTTTATTCTTCCATATGTATCTTGTTAACATTTTTTTCATTATCTTAAAGAAGGCTTCTGGAATTTTGATTGGTACCATTTGAAATCTATACAGTATTTTAGGCATAATTACCATTTTGACTAGGTTTATACGTCCTATCCAGGATGGGTTTCCTCCTTCTAATCTTTTTAAATCTTCCCTGATCTCATTTATCAAAGAGATATAATTTAATCTATACAAATGCTTAGATGAGGCAGTGAGTTTTATTCCTAGGTATTTTATCTCTTTTTCTCTCCAAATAAAGGGGAATTCTTTTTGTAGTTTTTCTTTTTCATTCTTTGATATATTAATATTCAGGATCTCTGTTTTCGTTGGATTAATTTTTAAATTTGATAGTTCACCGTACTCCTTCAGAATCTTCATTATGTTTGGGAGAGTTATTCGGGGATTCCCCACATAGAACAATAAGTCGTCCGCGCAAAGGCCGCTACTCTATGTTCTGTGGATTCTATCTGAATTCCCTTTACCGATCCACTATTTCTTATTGTTGACAACAGAGGTTCGAGTGACAATACATATAGCAGAGGGGACAGTGGGCAGCCCTGTCTTGTACCATTAGACATTCCAATGGGTTCTGATCTCTCCCCATTTACCGTGATGATTGCAGTAGGCTCCCTATATAATTTACTTATCCACTCTCGCATTCTATCGCCTATCCCCAGCACTTTTAAGTTGTCCATCATAAAGCCCCAGTCCACTCTCTCTAATGCCTTCTCTGCATCAATTGACAAGAGCACCACCGGGGCTTTCCCTTTTCTACTTTTCTGAATAAGCATCAGGGTTCTCAAGCCGTTATCTCTACCTTCTCTCCCCGGTACAAAGCCCACCTGATCTCCATGGATCCATTCAGGCATCAGATCCCTCAACCTGTTTGCTAACACCTTTGCATACAGTTTAGTGTCTGTGTTCAATAATGAGATAGGTCTATAGCTGGAGCACTGAGATGGATCTTTTCCCTCCTTGTGAATAAGTACTACATGGGCCTGTAGGGATTCTCTCCTCACTTCCATCCCACCTCCCAGAGCATTCATATATTTCTCCAGCTTGGGTAACAGTACTTCACTAAATTTCTTATAGTACTTAACTGTATAGCCATCTGGGCCTGGGCTTCCCCCCCCCCCCCCCCCTGTGCTTTTTAATGCTATTTTAATTTCTTCCTGGGAAATTTCTGCGTCTAGGGAGTTCAACTGTGCTTCATTTAGTTTTGGGTAATCCCGTATTTTTTAAGTATGTCATCTTTTTTTCATTAGTTCCCTCTCTGAGCTACTTTTAGAGGGCCTTGGGGGCTAATATTATATAAACTTTTTGTAATACTCCGTAAACACTTTAATAATCTCTTTATTTGAGTGGACCAACTCCCCCTTTGAACTTTTTATCTTTTCTATATAGTTCCTATTTTTCTTTTATTCAAAGCTCTCATTAGATATCTTCCTGGTCTGTCTCCCCATCTATATCTCTCGTTCAAAACCCTGTTGTATACTCTTCTCTTCTCCTCATCCATCAACCTCTCTAGTTCATCTTTTTTATCCAATAACTTCTGTCTCGTATCTTTTGTTATTTTCTTCTTATGGATCTGCTCCAAGTCCAATATTTCTTTTAAAAGCCCACTGACCTTCTCTCTTCTTTCCTTTTTCTTCCTTGCTCCTGCCGCGATCAAGATTCCTCTTATGAATACCTTGTGGCTTTCCCAGACTGTAGCTATCGATACTTCCTCTGTTTCGTTCTCCTTAAAGTATACCTTAATCTCTTTATCGATTTTCTGAACTACATCCTCATCCAGAAGAAGAACCTCATTTAACCTCCACCCTAATCCTCCAGTCCACCTTCTTCCCCATCCCATTTTCATTACGACCGGCGCATGATCCGAGAACGTCCTTGTCTCTATGTCAATTTTAACCAGATGATCTATAAGTTGATGGTCTATTAAGATGTAATCTAATCTCGAATATATCTCATGTGCATTAGAGAAGAAGGTATAGTCTCTGTCTTTCATATGCATTATTCTCCAGGTGTCCACTAGTTGATATTCATGCATCACTTTTTTCAAAGCTCTCAGAGACCTACTCCCCTCTCTTAGCACGGAAGAGGTATTATCCTTTTGTGGGTCCATACAGAAATTTAGGTCTCCAGCTACTATCAAGCGCCCTTTTTTGAATTCCATTAATTTTTTCAACAGACCCTTCATATATATCTCCGGGTTTTTATTAGGGCAGTATATATTGGCTAAAGTACACTCGATCCCCTGAAGTCTACCTTTTAAGAATAAAAACCTCCCCTCCGGGTCGGTTCTTCTATCCTCCAGCTCAAATCTCATATTCTTTGCCAAACCTATTGCAACCCCTTTTGCTCTTTTAATTGGAGAATCTGCATAGTACCATGTTGGGTAGTGTTTGGATTTCAATTTCACGTTTGCCTCTATCTCAAAGTGCGTCTCCTGTAAAAATACCACTGACGTAGCCCTATGATGTAACTCCTTAAACAACCTAAATCTCTTCCCTGGACAACTCAGCCCGTTCACATTATAGGTTATAAACTGTATTTCTTCCATCATTCCCAATTAACTCCATCTCTCTTCCAGATTGCCTCTTCCTCTTTATCCCTTCTGTCATGCAGAGTATTGACCCAATACCTCCTCCCTTCCCTCCCACCCAACTCCCCGTCCCCTCCCAATTCTCCCAACCCGCCCCCCTCCCTCCCTCCCCCCCCCCCTCCCTCGCCTTTCCCTCCACCCCCCCTCCCGCCCCCCCATTTTTTAGGCCTTCAAATTGCCTATCAAATCATTTGTGGATATAAGACCACCTTTGATTTTTTTTTTTTTTTTAAAAAACCTTGGGGTTGAACTCCTCCCATGTACAGCTTTCCCACCTCCAACCACCCCCGATTACCCTCGTTCTCTCCACATCTTTCCACTTTTGCGGTGTTGTTGCGATTGAAAGAGATAAAGAGGAATAAAAAAAAAAAAAAAAAAAAAAAATCAAATTATCCCCTCTAACTCCTCCCCTACCTCCCCCCTACCTGTCTGCCATTCCTCTTCTCCCCCATTTGCCTGTCTCTCCCTCTGTTTCCCACCCAGTGATCCTTATTCTGTGCAATTCCGGTCTATCAGAAGTCTCTCAAGTCCTCAGGAAATCTCAGATATGCTGTTACACCATTCTTCCATCCGATTAAAAACTCTGGGTTGCGTACCCATCTATATTGAACATTCCGTGTGTTCTCTAATCTGCTCTAAATAGGGGTTTCAAGGATCTCCTTCTCCACATGTCTCTCATACGATAAGTCCGCAAATATGTCTGAATATTTATATCTCCATACTTAATAGTTGTTCTTCCTTTAGTCCTTTTCCAAATCTCTTCCTTATTTCTCCATAATTATGCAGCTGAACAATTACATCTCTGGGTTTTGCCTTCTCATTACACATGATGGAACTTTCCCTGTTCTATATACTCCATCCAATTTTAATTACATCTGTTTTCAAGTCTGTCCATACATGGAGTTTGACATTTTACAGACTATTTCTTGAAGTTTCATTTCTCTCCCTTTCAAATTTTCTGGGATTCCTCTTATCCTCAAGTTGCTTCTCCTATTCCTGTTCTCTTGTACTTCTATATTATACAGCAATTGTTTCTGCGTATTCCTCATCATAGCAGCCCTTTTTTCTAGGCCTGAAATAAATTGGGTGTGTTTATTAATTTTTTTCCTCCATTTCTTCCATTCTCTTTAGCAGGTGCCCTAGATCTTGTCGAATATTTGTCATTTCTTGCTTAAAAGTTTTTTCCAAGTTTTTAAACATTTCGGCCATCTCTCTCTTTATTCGGCACTTGTAAATCCTTTTCAAGATCTTTCCTCTCTGGGTTTTTCTATCGACTGTCGGCTGCTACAATTCAGGCCCAGTGACAATCTGGG